TGTATTACGCATACAAATATATCATTAAACGAGGAGAAATCAACTGTATAAACGATTAACTGAACATGTTCGATTGTCAGTAAATAAGTGTTAATAAGTGGAAATAAGTGCAAAACGGAATCTGCTGATGAGAGACACTGTCTATTGTTTGCATAAGGAAACCGTACTAGGTCTAAGGGCCTGGTCTGTCACTGAAGGCCAAGATAATGAGTGCAGATATAGCTTCTGTTTTCTTTAAGTGAGCCAGATTTCCTTTTCGGAGATATAAACATCACTTTCTTGCACTTTTAAGAGTCAACACGTCCTTGTCAACAGTAAAATAAAATTTTATTCATAGAAAAAATAAAAGAGTACCTCACCTCACCTAACCTAACCTAACCAGACTGTCTTGAAGTTTTAAAAAGTCAACACATCCTTGTGAACAGTAAAATAAAATTTTATTCATAGAAGAAATAAAAGAGTACCTCACCTAACCTAACCTAACCTAATCAGACTGTCTTGAAGTTTTAAAAAATCAACACATCCTTGTGAACAGTAAAATAAAATTTTATTCATAGAAGAAATAAAAGAGTACCTCACCTAACCTAACATAACCAAACCACACTTTCTTAAAGTTTTAAAAAAGTCAACACATCCTTGTGAACAGTAAAATAAAATTTTATTCATAGAAAAAAGGAAATAAAAGAGTACCTAACCTAACCTAACCTAACCTAATCACATTTTCTTGCAATTCTAAAAGAGCCAACACGTCCTCGTGAATAGTAAAATAAAATTTTAATTGTAAAAGAGTGCCACTATTTTTCACCCATTTCCAATAAAATAGAAATAGAGTCAAGCGTCATCGAATGTTCAAATTGATTAATTTTTTCACTTCCTTATCACGTAGTAACTTTATTCAACTACGATCGAGTCCATGCATCCGGTAGAGATAAGTGCATCTCGATACCGAAGTGATAACCTCGAACACGCTTCTGTTTATCGATAGATTAATAAAAATCGAATAACGTCGACAGGAAACAAATTGCGGCGAACGAAATCCGTGATAAGTGAAAGGGATGTACCGGGCGTTATCTATGACACCGATTCTTTGTCCAGAACTTTTACGTTAATACTGGGAATCAAAGGAAGAGTAGATAATCGTAATTGAATAAACAACATTTTTTTCTACTATCAACTGAAGTGACTCATTGATGGATCTATGTAATTAGGACTTTTATCAGATACTTGATTACGATTCTCTGGATACACTCTTAATGCTAGAACAAAATTTCTGGACGCGACGTGTGACGCTCTGACAGTGACGTTTGGAAATTTGGAAGCGTGCGAATTTGAGGATATGAAATTTGGGATACGAAATATTGAAAATTAGGGAGTTGGGTAATTTACAAATTCGGAAGTGCTGTGTTTTGACTTGTGAAAAATTAAAAATAAAGAAATTAGGAGGGGTGGAGATATGAAAATTTGGGTGTAGGAAATGTAGGAACCTGGCATGTGGAGATTTGGATATGTGGAAATTTGAAAATGTAGAAATTAGGGGATGTGGAGATATGAAAGTATGAGTATTCCACATATAGAAATTTGGGATGTGAAGATTTGGAAATGTGGAAATTTGAAAATGTAGAAATTAGGGGATGTGGGGATATGAAAGTATGAGTATTTCACATATGGAAATATGACACGTGGAGATTCAGAAATGTGAAAATTTGAAAATGTGGAAATTAGGGGATGTGGAGATATGAAAGTGTGAGTATTTCACATATGGAAATCTGTCACGTGGCGATTTGGAAATGTGGAAATTTAAAAATGTAGAAATTAGTGGATGTGGAGATATGAAAGTGTGAGTACTTCACATATGGAAATCTGTCACATGGAGATTTGGAAATATAAAAATTCAAAATTGCAAAAATTAGAAAACCTAAATATTTGCAACATAGCAATCTAAAATTTGTAGCTTCTGAAATATATGAATTTGTGAATTCGTCAACTCGAAAATGCGAGATCTCGTGAATCTGTCGATTCGTCCCCGAGAAAGTTGGAAAGTTAGGGTTTGAAGTGAACCGTAGATTAAAATCGGGGATACCCATGGCCATCAAGAAGGAAGTAAAAACAACAGTTCCACGACGGTCGAGCTATTTCAGTCGAAAACTTCAACTGCAGGAATTCCTCGGTCGTAAACAAAAATCAGGTTCGACGAGGTCGTGCGTTTGAATTTGGTGAGGAAGGTAAAGGCGAACTGGTTGGAGAAAGGATTCGCCGAGTCCTGCCTACTCGAGGATACAACAACCTTTTGGCGTACGTGCTGTGTGGAACATATCTAAATGTCACGTGTTACTGTCCTGTATGAACCGCTGCACCCTCTTCTTAGTTTTGCCACGAGGAAACTTTCACTCGTCGGTCACGAGTCACGGCATATCGGCTCGTGTCACCACCGCTTGATAGGCGCTATTCTACCGATTCGATTAGGCGCTATTCTACCGTCTACGTGTATTCTATATTACTCGAAGTACTAATCCCTCCAGATATTATATCTCAAGTTTAATACATCTATCAATTTCGATCAACTATTATAAAATTACTGTTTCATCTTGCACGCTTCGAATCAAGAATATTAATGTTTGAATAATTGCAATTCTCAAATCATTACTTGAATAATACAAATTTAACACGGCGGGAATATCAAGCAATAAGTGTATTGCTCGATCAGTCTAGAACCTAATTCCCTAGATCCCTAATTACCTAGAGCTCTAATTCCCTACATCCATAACTCCCTAAATCCCAAATTCCCTAGATTCCAAATTCCCTAGATTCCAAATTCCCTAGATTCCAAATTCCCTAGTTCCCAAATTCCCTAGTTCCCAAATTCTCTAGATACCAAAATCCCAAATTCTCTAGATACCAAAATCCCAAATTCCCTAGATTCCAAATTCCCTAGATATCAAAATCCCTAAATCCCCATTTCCCTAGATTTTAAATTCCTCAGCCCCCAAAATCCCTAAACCCCAAATTCCCTAGATTCCGAATTCCCTAAATCCCAAATTCCCTAGATCCCAAAATCCCTAGACCCCAAATTCCTTAGATTCAAAGTTTTCTAAATTCCAAATTCCCCAAATTCCAAATTCCCTAGATTCTAAATCCCTAAGTCCCGAATTCCCCCATCCCTAATTCTCTAGATTTCAAATTTCTCCAATTCCTAATTCCCTAGATTTCAAAATTCCCCAATTCCTAATTCCCTAAATGCCTAATTCTCATATCCCTAAATTCCTTAATAAATTCCCCAGATCCCTACACCCATATATATACATTCCCATATTCTTATATCTGTTATCTTCGTAAATCCCTAGTTCCGGTTAATAAAAATTTCCGAATGTAATCGATCAATCGACAATTCTATAAATGAAATATCAGTTACGATTTCCTTTGAAATCGTAGATAACTGCAGCTTTGTCCGTTCGCTAAGTATCGATGGCAATCTCCGGCCACGTAATGTCGCAATTTTGCAACTGAGAAAGAGTGTTTCTCTTACTCCGGCTACTTTGCTTACGATCTCACTATTGCGATTCGAATTAACACACTCATCGACAACTTTCTACCGCCGACGTTTCATCAAATTATTCCGAAACGAACAGCGATCGTGTTGATACAATTGCTTAATTAGATCGCGCATGTTAACAATCTAGATTCTAATGCTGGAATTTTTTTTTGGGTTTTATCAGGTGTATAATCAGCGATAAATTTTTAGTCATAGAATCGAACAGGAACTTTCATTTTTTGTAGTGGTATCTGTTGTACTGTCCTTGTGATTTTCGATCGGTTTACTCTGTATATCGGAATTGGTAAAGGGTTGATCATCAAAGCTGCACAACGTAAACATCCAGAGTCGTTGACCGATACGCTGTCCGATGGTTCGAATACAAAAGATGGATACCAAGATTCCTCGTAAAACGTCGAGTCCCAAATTAAAACTCAATGTTAAACAAAAATTGCGAAATCTTTCTTATCGCAAACGTGCTGTGACGTTTAAAATTTACAATTTATTTTTCAAAACAGCCGACTGAAATATACGCTGCTATTCGAGATTAACTTCGAACGAAATCAAACGTTGATTCGTATCGTGACGAGGAAAAAAGATGAACCGTTAATTTCCCTCGTGGAGGTGAATACCAAACGATGGGGCTCGATTTGATGCGCGGCAAACTCTGTCGGAAATAAAAGTTTTCTGTTCGTTCCCTGATAGAATATGCAATTATCTTTGACGTGTTAACGTGTTCATTTTATATTGTTAACTATCTAATAGCTCGACGTGTGGTTGCCTACGTGTTATCATTGCTCCCACTACTTCGTTATCAGAATATTTTGCGGGCCGTCCTTGGTACGTATTATTAATGCAAATACCACAATGAACATTTTGTAAATTATTTACGCAAACAATGTCACACAGATGTGTCGTACTAATTAGTTCGCTGAAAAACAATCTTATATTTCGATAATGCGAAAATCCATATTTAACCGAAGACAGTAAGTGTACACTTAACACATTTGCATTTCGCGCGGTTTGAAAAACCTCAACGGTTCGCTAATATAACTTTCAAATCCTCTTTACATTTTTAAAATATTCAAATATTCTTGTAAATATATATTTTCGTTTAAAAACATCGATAACTAATTTTAATTAAAACACTGTATATATTTCCTGACCCTCCGCCGTTCAGGAACCGGGAGAAATTTGCGAACGCGTGAAACGTCTTATTTCTATACAAATGTTGGAGTTACACGCAAGAATGAAATGTACCAGATGTTAAATCGAACAGCGCGAAGAGTTGCGCCGGTGGCGCGTTAACTCTAGGACAACATTGCGCTTGAACGAGCTGTCACCTGAACACCGAATCGTACACTTTCTCCTTCGAAAATTTTCCAGTCGAACAATACCATCGATCCGTGTACGGGAAGAAACAAAAACAACCGAGCCGGAAGTGTTTTATGTTTACAAAGAGTTTACTCACCGCACATGTTGCCCAAATGTTGAATACTAGGTATCCGCCACGTAAATGAATAAGATTGGACGCGGAGTAAAAAAGCAGTCAAGTCAGAATGTCACTCCTCAAGCTACTGCGAAGCACGGTCTGAACCACACGACAGCGTGCTCGTGCTTCTTATGATATGAGATTTCGTATGGGTGTAGGTACGGTCACATCTACGACCGGTGTCTATGTGTTTGTGAGCAACACCGTTCAGACAAACCATTGACAGTGGGCGCATCGTCTACACGGTGACTGTATACCTCGAAAAACAATTCGACGTGTTGACAATGCGATCAGAAGTCGTGGTTTTTTTACTATTCGCTGAGCACGAGAATCACTGGGGAAGGTAAATAATGTTTGGATAATCGAGGAACATGAATTAAGTATAGAACACGCGAGTAGAGAATATATCACGAACGTACACTTCGACTTGCGTAGTGTCAACCATGATACGCGTGAATAGACGAGTATCTTGATTACTCTTTTTTAGTGCGTGTTACTTGTCGATGCGGTGTCATGTGTTTTGTGAATGAAATGCGTTAATTGCGTTATTAAAGTGGAATGAACACTTTCAAATGTTTGGAATCGACTCTTTGTTGACTTATTTGTTCAATGAAAGATCGTACTCATCGTACGACAAGTTTCGATTCATTCCGCGCATGTGAATTCTCATTGGTCCTGAAATGCCCCGTTAGCCAAAACTACGCACATGCGCGTTAGAACGTTCGTGGCGGAAAATTGGTATATCCTGTGATCTTTTATTTTGCGTATCGCTTATGTCGAGTATTTTCATTTTATTTGAAAGCATAACAATTTAAGAATACAGAAATTTGGAAATTTGGAAATTTTAGGACTTGGCAATTTGGAAATTTCACCTGGTCATACTTGTTTTGCTCCTATTTACGCATTTATTTTCGTTCACCGTGTATATGGCCAACAGAGCTGACGGTGTATGGTAGTGGGGACATCTCAACTGATGGGGGTTTACTGAAATTAGCCATGTTGCGCGAAATGAGTACGATCTCTCGTTGAATGAATAATGATCTTATCCGAACTGTACGTATCAGACAGAGCGCGCTGTCTGTTCATAAATTTCAAGTATCAATAATTTAAACATCTCATTGATTAAATATTATCTATATCGATGCAAGAGATAAAGCGTAATATTATGATTTACTCGAGAAGAATTTTTGTTATGTTATACCTTGTTCATAATTAGGGGATGTCAATCGTAGCTTATGATTGGACGTTCATATTCGCGCCATATTATTTGACAAGTGTAGACGAATACGTAATAATTGGAGTATTGTGCCAAATTGTAATAATTGTTAATAGTAAGCCCGCCTATATATTCGACGATTGACACGGTTTTATTGCAAATAGTATTTTATTGTTAAAGTGCGGGCACCCTTTTGGGAAACTTCATTACCAGTCTATAAATTTCTGCACCACATATTTATTTTGGTATTTTAAATATTCCTGTTAAATTTATTTACTCAGGTACATTTAATATCGCAAATAATCTTTTTTTAGTTATGTAACATATAATGAAATAATAAACTTTGACATTTATACAATAACACAATATTTTGGTAAATCAAGTGACATTTCATAACAATTTTGAATGTCATCTAATAGAAGCCTGTAAAAAGGTTTACAAACATTATATTAAATATCAGAAATAATTTAAAACAGCTGAATAATCGTAACCCTCATCATTTTGTCTTAATAAATGGTCGATCTTGTATCGCACGTACGAAACGTTATGACAAAGTCACAAACATGTTTGCATCCTAATGCAACATGGTGTTAGTAAAAATACGGCGTGTATATAATTGATCTTATGCCGATTAAAGAAAAGTAAAAATACAGAAACGTGCGTCTCGATTGAAAAGTGCATTAATTGTCTTGTAACGTAAACCGCAAATTAACCAGAAATCGTAACGATTTCGATCACTGTCAAACATGTCTTTTTTAATATGAAAATAACACTACGAACGAGGAAAATCGTTCTTTATATCAGAGAAAGTGAGGATATAAATAGTACAAATATTTGTTAAATACGTCACTTTCTTTTTGTACATATGTAAAATATTTTATGCGTATATTTTACAGACAACCTTAAAATCTTTGACACATTATGGAAAATACGAATGACTGTATTACTTGTGGAGATTTTGCATTTTATAACAACTTTGATTCTGCCAATTTAGCAAAAGTCGAAATAGTGAAATTACCAGAAATATCTGAGAAAGGTAATATTTAGCCCATATTTATTATTCCCATATTACTGTGAACAGTTTAATTTTATATTTGATTATTTATAGATGGATATGAAGCTGAGAATAAATCATGCAAAAGTTCAAACTCTGAAGATGCAATAGATTATGAGTTCAATTTGTGGACAAAACACGATTGCCATGGAACACAATTCCAGAATAACAATAGAACATGGTTTTATTTTGGCGTTAAAGCTAATGCACCGAGAGTTTGTGTTAAATTTAATATAGTCAACTTAAATAAACATGTCAAAATGTTTAGTCAAGGAATGTGTCCGGTTTTTAAAATCGTACCTGGTCACTTACATTGGGAACGGATTCGTGAAAAACCTACTTACACTGTAAATTTGTTATGTCATGCACATCGTAAGCCATTTATATATTGTCAAGAAATTACATGAGCTTAAAATATTTCAGTTGGATCAAACAGGAAATGATTTTACATTATCATTTGTTTATAATGCCCCTGAAAATCCTAAAGCTATTACGTATTTCGCGTTTACTTATCCTTTTTCTTACACCGATTTACAAAATTATTTAAGAAGAATAGAAGCAAAATTAGCAAAGAGAGACATAACTTGTGTAGACGATGTTTATTATCATAGGGAATGTGCAATAAAATCATTAGAGGGACGAAGAATGGATTTAATAACGGTAAGCTCATTTCATAACATATCAACGGAGAGAGAAGATAGACTGAGCAATATGTTTCCTGAAAAAACTGAGGAAAGACCTTTCAAATTTTGGGATAAAAAGGTACAGAATTTTTACTTTTAATTTAAATATAAATTAAGGTAAATATGAAAACTGTTTATTTAAAATCTTTAGGTAATTTTTGTCAGTGCAAGGGTCCATCCAGGTGAAACACCATCTAGTTTTGTTTTTAATGGTTTCCTCAACTTTATTATAACCCGTGATGACCAAATTGCAATTAATCTTCGCCGCCTATATGTGTTCAAATTGATACCAATGCTCAATCCTGATGGCGTAGCTAGAGGTCATTATCGGATGGATACTAGAGGAATCAATCTCAATAGGGTATATTTAAATCCTTCTTTGAAAGATCACCCAACAATATATGCTGCAAGAAATTTAATAAGGTAAAATTAGATTTCAACATTGTGTTTCAATCTATTATTAGACCATTTTGATTAATTACTGATCTATACTTTAAGATATTATCATAACACATACAAACTGCCAAAAGAGGACGAACTTTCGAGTGTATATTTAGGAAATGGTGAAAATAATTTAACTATTATCGATTCCACTCGTACAATTACAAGTATAGTACGTGATACAACAGCAAGATTACTTCAACAGGTAATTATATGAATTTATAATTTACATAATTTCATTCTAACAAATGTCCGTACTAACATGTACTAACCCTCATGCAATTCAAGAACAGTAAATTAGGAAAATAGGCACTAACTAACAATTTTAACAATAGGTAACACTTATGACATTAGATGATAAGAGTAAAGATCAACCGGAAATTTTTCAGGAATCTATGTTACCTAAAACAAATTCGGATGACATGCCTCAGGGTATGATATTTAGAATTAAATTATTCAACACGGTCAGCAAACTTCTTTTACTTATTTTTTCACATTATGTGAAGGTGATGGAGAAGAGCTGTGTAATAGAGCAAAGGAAAACGATAACTCTGTAGAACTTAACTCTGATAAAAAGACTTACACAGCTGTTGGCATTGGACAGCTACCTAAAGAGGATTCTAGTTTATATCTATACATCGATTTGCATGGCCATGCTTCGAAGAAAGGTGTTTTTATGTATGGAAACTACTTTGATAATGTAGAAGATACGATCACGTGTATGCTTCTACCAAAATTGATGTCTATTAACAATCCAAATTTTCATTTTACTTCGTGCAATTTTACAGAAAAGAATATGTACATTATGTAAGTCTTGTTAGTAACAGCAAAATTGAAATTTTAATCTTTTGACTTTAATTATAATGTCTGTTTTCACAGTGACAAAAGAGATGGTATGTCAAGAGAAGGATCGGGCCGTGTAGCTGTATATAAATTAACTGGTCTTATACGTAGTTACACGCTTGAATGTAATTATAATTCTGGGCGTTTAGTAAATACTATACCACCAAGGATTCGTGATGGCGTTAATAAAACCATGGCGACCATGTTTGTTCCACCAAAATATACTCCAGCAGTTTTCGAAGCGGTAAAATATATTTTTATTATTTGCATATCATTTTTTACCAGCAATCATTTATTTGATTATATTTTTAGGTTGGAGCAGCGTTAGGTCCTTCAATTTTAGATCTTACAAGTAATAATCCTAACAGTCGACTGCCAAACAGTCAATATCGTTGTTTAAGAGGTGTAAAATCTTTCTTAAAATTATCGTATGTGAACAATCTTTCTGCGCCGTTAGGCAAGTCACTGAATAAGGTAAATTTTGATGTAAATAATGAGAGTGAAATTGCAGCTGTTAATATAAGGCAATGTGTACTCTCTTAATTTAGAGTACCATTATTATGGTACGCTTTCGCATATTAACACTAAGACACATTAGTGCCTGAGTAAATTGCAGTCCATGTTGTTAGTTAAACATGTGGGAGAGAGATTTTGTATGCATATAATTTGTATATTATTTTCTGTTAGTGACACCGTATTACGGTTTTGTTATTAAAAGAGATATACCCTGATTTTATAGTATTATAACATTATAAATGAAAGAGTTTTATGCTGACAATTCCATAACTTAATATTATACTAGGTATTTATTACTTTTATATATGTAATTGTTATAATTTTTTTGAAATTTTTACTATATCAAACTAATGGGTCTTCCATCTAATGCATACGTATGCATGACAATAACATTTGGAGAACTTTTTTATAAAAATTTATGACAAAGAAAATTATTTGTTTGTTGGTTTCATTTTGTAAATTTATTACATAATCTAATTGCAATCACAACGTTTGCATAAAATGGAGTTGTATACAACTTCAGCATGGCATTAACAAAAATATAGTGCATACACACAATGTTTCTATTACATAGTGTTTTTTATAGTGCAGTTTTTAGCCGACAAGTTTACGAAACTAGTTCTTGTTAATTTAACGCTAGAGCCAATTAACAGAGTATAGAATACTCGATACTAATGCTTATACTTTTAGCAAAGAACAAGTTCTTTTTCTTGTAATTCTTAGTCAATTTTTGTTGCACTGTAATTCTGGTGACAATAAACAAGTGCACTTAAAAATTATTTCACGGTTGTGAGTGATAAGAAAACAAAAAAAAAATGCACACGTATATAAATGATCGTATCTATTTCTTTAGAAAAAAGTAAAGAATAACGGTTTAAACGATTAAACCGTAAATCTGTGGATGATGGAGTCTTTTAACGAATGATGTGCAGATTTTGAAATCAGATTTGAAATCATTAATCAAGTGTATGATGGATTTTCTAGATTTTCTTTTAGTGTTCGTGAAAATTGAAAATAATATTAAAAATCTTTTAACAGAAACATAAAAAACAAACTATGAAAAAGAAATATAAAGTATACATATGTGTCTATCATAAAATAAGTACGAATGTGTGTTAGATTACATTAAATTATTAGTATAAAAAAAAAACAATCAATATTCTTTAGTCAGACAGCAACACAAATTTGTAGAATATTTATGCCATTCACGATTTAAATGTAAATACTGTTATCAATTGAAAAGAATATTATGTATAAATTCATGTATACTAATCTTACAATGTATACTGTTATAACACACATGTGTACGCACACATATATACACATGCCTGTCCCATTGTTTTAATAAATGTACAGTATTTTTAGCAATAATTTATGTACCTCATTTTTATTTTGTTCCTGTTAATCCTTAGTCCCCCTATTATGTAATTTATACCATAATTTTTTACAAAACTGAATGTAATGTAGATTAAGTTAAAAATTGTAACTCTAAAATATTAATGTCTTTGTTATATATGTTTGTCATTTGTGTTCTAATACGTACAATTTTTGTATACGTTTAAATCTACAAAACTTAAGAGATCATGGGAACATAAAGCTAATCTCTCTCTCACAAATTGTCTTCATTTTAAATGTACAAATTTTTTATTTATGAAGATGCAATGTTCGCAACGTTATGTGCATTTTCCTCATTGAAAGAAAGAACTAAACCTAAATCCGCGCTTTTATTCACAGGATGATAGTGATATCGTAGCTCAAGATCCTTCTAATTTAAAAGGAAACGAATCTCAAATAAGTGATTCGTCAGTTGGTTCAAAAAGTTCTGTGAAAAGTGATACAAATCTTGTCAAAAAATCGTGCATCATTCGTCGTACCTCATCCCTTTACACTGCAGTGAAAAGAATAAAGAATAACAAAAAATCTCGGCAAACTATAACTCGTAGACCGTTCAAAACACAATGCGTTAATAATGTCGAAAGCAATTCGAAGCTTCCTGTGATGGGCTCGAAAGATATGAAATCGTTATTGAAAACTACAGATAACTTGAAAAGTCCATGCTTTGGTTGCATCAACGATGCACCGGAGTCGCAAATAAACGATTTCCAATACACAAACAAAAAGCTAACGGCCAACAAATTATCTAAAATGCCATTATCTTCCGAAGAAACAGCAATCGTGAAGCACGGAGCGAAACGATTGAAAATTATTTCTACGAGAGTGAATAAAAAGCGATCGGAAGTCGGAGAACCCTCTAACAACGTTCCGGAAATTACCAAGCCATCGGCAAAAACATTCCTTGCAGTTAATAAGCAGAGTGCAAGAACAGCTTCTAAAGTGATTAAGAAACGTTACCATAACGTGGAACAAAACAAATCGAAGTCTTCCAAGTCTAAAAAAATGAATAGGAACGCCATGGTTGATAACCTATTAAAAACCGAAAACTAATATAAAATTATAGTGCATAAATTAGTCTGTGTTATCGTCATTGGGGTAACTAGATACGTGGCAATCTAATTCGTGGCTATGCACCACATGGTAGTGTAACGTACAGTGACGTAAAGTTGTCCCTTGCAAACAAAAATTCTAGTTACGCCAATGGTTATCGTAGAAGAGTAATATATTTGCCATGAAGAGTAGCTTTATAATCCATTGAGACAAATAATTTAGTTGTGTACCCTTAGTGTAAAAACTACAAGTTGGTTAAGAAACACAAAAGAATGGAGTTACTATTTATTTCCTAATAAAATTATATCGTATTCATGTAATATTTTATAGCGATTTTGAGGTATAGAATATTTCTGCTATTGTATATACTCGTATACATTTTAGGATCCGTTATATGATTAGAATAAATAGAATAAATGCTAATCTATGTGACATTCAATTATTATTAATAGTTCTTGCAGAGTTTACAGAACCGAAGCAGATTTAAAATCATCGGTTAGATATATGTAGATCACTTCGGTTATTTTCGTGTCGAATCGGAATGGTTCGGAACTCGTGGTATTCGTCACCCCTTCCCGCCTTCCCGCAACAGTCGCATTCGCGTGTGGTAACTTTCGAGTAGTCGCGTGTCAACTCGGACAGAGGTTATTGTTGTATAGTATTGTGATTTAAACGAATCATATTTGAACGTGTAAAATCGTGGTATAGTAGTTACAAGTGATACGTTTGTGATCTGTGAGAAGCTGCATCTTTCGAAATGGGCACCAAAAACAACATCAATAGTTGTGTACTTTTCGCAGTGTTTCTACTACTCATCGAAACTGGTAAGGTTAATGCATGTAACTATACAAGACGTGAAACATCGTGGCGTCCTTTGGGCGGGGCATTTGTAATTTTAATTGCAATATTGAATAATGTAGAACTTCGATCTATAAAGATCGGAGACGGATATGTAGTTTAGTAATCGTTTATAGCATCTTAAAATTATTAATTTAATTCGTTTATGATGACATATTATTATTTCACTTCGAACATTATCACTTCTGTTTTGAAACGCTTATTTTTGATTTTTGAAACGAACTTATTGAGATAGTAAAAGCTTGAATAGTGATTCAGTGTTTTACTGACGCGATACGTCAGGTCAAAGGGTTAAAAATTATCTAAATCTAGCTCTGTAAGCAGAGCCACCGCTAGGGTTTGTGGGACCTGCGACAAAAATCGATAACATAATCGACACTTAGTGAAATTGGAACGAAGGAAAAACATAGGATTTCAAAAAGAATTTTCGTTCAGTCCACAGTCTACGATGCTATCAGTGCATTAGCACGAACAACTCGCATCCGTTCCAATGCAACGAATTTCTGACAAGTGACATCGATATCGAACCACAGCCTTGCGATGATGTTTACGGGGCTCAGTACTGCGTGAAGCATACAGGCCGATTTGAGGGTAAAACAATATCGGAGATCAGGTTACTTGTAATGAGAAGGGAAACATAACACTTTCGTGCGAAAACTAACCTTAAAATCATACCCAGTCATACTTTCGCATCGATTCATCGCAGCATGAGAAAATCGAAGCACGATCGATGGTCATCCGAGTTTCGGTTTGGGAATCTAAATACTAATTTCAATTGTGCTATCATAAGGAACATCTAACATCATGCACTGAGGGTTTCGACGGTTGACACTTGGACATTAAAATTTATTCAAATTATATTGCATGAAAATTTATAATACTGTGTATGTAACAACTGGTGTTGCGTATCGAGCAGTTCTACGGGTCTAACGTTTAAACAGTCCACGAAGTGCACTCATGTACGAATGACAATTTAATCATTGCTTTCTTGATCGATTAAGCGGCAAGTCTGGATTGCTACCAATGCACGTCGGAAGAAGAGTTGGGCTGCGGAAACAGCAATTTGGTTCTAAGTACTCTGCAACCGGCGAATTGCAGTCACGTTTACGATGCACGTTATTGCATCAAATCAATCGGCCGATACGGAGGTTTTTGCATTATACATTGAATGTCTTTCATCTTCGAGTGTGCGTCATCGTAGACACTGTTGTCTTTCCTTGCCACACGAATATTCCGCTTCTTACAAAAATAGTATTCAGACTGTTCGACCAAGTATTTGATCGAACATTGTAATTATCGATAACGTTATCAACGGCTCACTGTATGTACGCATCATCTCGCTGTGAACACGCTATTTGCATCTCTCGCTTTCATAACGCATGCTGTTTATCAAGCTTTGTGTCAATGTTTACGATGAAACAAAGGAAAAGAAAAGATCGAATGTTTTGTTGCAACAGGTGGAATAGGCACGAAGCGATTCTGCTCGTCGTTGGATCTCGGAAATTACTGCGATTACGTCAGCCAGCCAGGTGACAAATTAACTTACCGAACCTGCATCTTCACCTGCTCCGGTGACGGATGTAATCCAGCCGCCATCTTGAAACCTACTGTCTCATGGATCATACCAATTGGATTATCGATAGTTTGTAAATTAATTTTCCAAAGGTAGACTGTTTTAAATGACGCGTTTTATGCTATAACGGAGATGATGACCCTCAGTCGGTAAGAAAGAGTACCTTGAGAAACGAAATAAATGGACAGGATTGAATATATAGAAACTGAAGAGTTTTTGGAATCTTATTGAAGACTGTACTTAAGTTACTCATGAGGTTTAAAATTGAGAATTGAATAAATAGGTGAATTATCGATTGAGGGTAAAGTTAATCTCTAAGCAAGAAAATTAATCCGTCCTTATTGTGTTAAGATTTAATGTACATACTCTAAGCCTAAGGGAACAATTTACACAAAGCTGCTGTATTTTATACAATTCAAATAATGTGCCTTCTTTTTTAATGTATCAATAGTTACCGTAACAAGTACAGTGTTAACGCGATTTATAGTAAGATCGACGAAAAATGTTTAAGACTTAGTTAATTATACGTGTATTTTAACGTGTAAAAATATTTTGTACGAAATCACATCTTTCAATCCGAATTTTTATAGGTTTATAGATAAGTGACTTTTGTACTTGCATATAATTATTTTTGTACGTTTCTTTTTTTTTAAACAAATAGTTGTGTTAATCAATTTTGTATAGAATCTCATTTACGTCTTGAATGCAACGACATGATTATTTATAATTCTGTACAGAGTACAAAATAAAACACTGTCGGTTTACAAAATAAGGATTGTGTATTATCTGTATGGGTGATAAGAGAGAAATGCAATCGAATGCTTTGTTCTTTATTCACGAACGAGCTCCTCAGTTCGTTTTACATACACTTAGTCGTTCCTCTGCATATAAATATAATACGATAGTCGACCGATTGATAATAAATTTGTCCGGCGACCATCCGTAGAAAGGTACTTGTACGTTAACGCTCTTTGGTATGTCCGTTTATATGAACAATGCATAGGATAAACAGGATTTTTCTTTTCTCTATACGACATACACGTTTGTAAATGTTCGCGTGAACATTAAACAAAGTTACACGGAACAAAATAGATCACCGGCGAAAGAATTTTCAATGTAGATTTACTGAAAAACATTGCACACGCTTTACGCAAGCTTTATTGCACAAAATTCGACGGTGTAAACGAAGGAAAAGAAGAAAGTACACACACATTAACGACGACCGATAAGATTAATAAGTCTGAACTAAGCTTAACCCTCGTGTAGTAAATTTGATTGAGATATAGTACACACACTGTATCCTATACCTGATTACACAAGGGTTAACACAATATTGTAGTCTACCAATTTATTCATGATTTTTCTATCCATAACTGCTGTGTTAAATGTTGAAGGCAACACAGTGTGATACACTTTTAGAAAGACACTTCCATCAGGCTTCAAGCAATTCGATGAAATTTGAATATCAACATTTGAGTATAACTATTTTGTACAGTAATCATAGAAATATAGCATGATCAAATCGAGCTTATGTCACGCTTTGTTTGTACGACTACTATACTGCAATCTTTTTCTACAATGATCGACTGATGCGCGCTGAACACAAGCATATTTTTACTCGAATTTTATATTTGTTGCTCGAAATTACAACTATGTACATATATATCGTATGAAAAAATACATATATGTATATGTATAAACAGTGTGTGCATACGTGTATATATACAGGATGTATAACGTAGTACTACCAAGTAATCTATATGCAAAAATAAGTTGCGAATGTAAAATAACATTTTAAGTATGGTATTAGTAGTAGACTGTGTTCTAACGTATTCACATCCTGCGAATATCATATGATAGAAGTTTACATTGTTGTTAACAATATATTTCAGCAATCTTTCTTTTGCAGTCCACTTATTAATATCCTATGTAATATTATCACACCATACATTAGTATTTCATAAATGTATTCTACATTTTTTACTTCTATTTGCACTAAGTCAACCTGAAGTAGTGCTTCGTTATGCATCTACCCTGTATATATACATACATGTATACAAACCACTACTTAAATTTGTTAATCGCTATCAAGCAGCAATAAAGTACCTTGTTACTAACAATTTTCCCCGTTTGTTGGTCCTAGTAATGTAGAGTAATTTGACACACAAATATCAGCGTTTATTAAATAGAATCGAATCAGTATTGCATATCTCTGCTTTTACGGTGTTTCAACTTTACGATCATACATTTCGTCTCTTTGATTTATTTCTTGTATCACCCGCAGGTTAGGGGTATATCTTGTTCTCTAGCGCTAATATGCACACGTATAACGCTCTTCTCTGGTTGTACAAAAAAAGAAGTGTCAGCCTAACATGTTCGAAACTAATTATAGTATACAATAATTGAATATCATCACTGCCATGCGTTCAGTTAGAAAATTAGATATTGCCATCTTGTACCATGGCAGTGGATGTTGGCAGTGATCAATGCACTCGACGTTATGATAGCTTATAGTTAACTGGTTAAGTGTACCACCGTATATATGTATATCTTACCTACGAAAGCGAGATGTACAGTTGCGTGCAATGATACAGTTATCAGAGTTAAATTATACAGAATGTTTTCTGTCTCAGCAATATGTCTCTGCAACATTGTATTGCATACTAATTTAGTTTCACTTCCGTAATATTAAGTTTTGTGTACTAACTTTACTACAACATTTCTGAATGGTAATTATGTTAGAAGGAATTAATCACATGGATATAAGTAATAATTATTACTGTATCGTTACACGCAACTGCACACGAAATAGAACACAACGGTACTCTTTAAATTAACATATAAATTAATGTACAATTATCGATGAAATTTCTAATATTGTCGACTGTTAACGTCAAAAGTGAATAATTAACTCGTGTGAATCAAATAATAAATAGAATCATAAATATTAGTTAAATGTTACAAATAAGTCCATCTCAAAGAAAATTACAACAACAAAATATTATAGAAAATGCATCATTGCTTCGAATGATTTCTTTCTTTTGCAACCTTCGTTGACTTATGAACGAAGAATCTCAATTATTATTCGTCGTCACAGTTTGTGCTTTTCTCGTACGATGTTTCATTGCATACGCAATTCCTAAATAATCTGCGTTCATCTAGCATTTCTATACACGACAATTCTATTGTAAAACGAATTGCATATGATAAACGTGCATATGCAACAGACAGGTACAATTTTTCGTGTACACAACATTTTAATACTTCGTCGAAGTTTTTCGTCTTTATATTAAGCTGATCTTTCTCCTTCGTTATTTTAACGAACAACATACAAACAGTGACTGATAAAAATAAAGAGAAGATCACTACTATCAATATACGTACACATGTTTCAATGCGTAAGTAAATTCAAATGGTTTAAATTTAGAATTAAAGAAAGCGGTCGCTTCAAAAATGCACGGTTAAAAACTGCGAAGAAGTATCAACATTTTATATAGACGAAACCTCGTCTGTACATTGAAGGCAATCGTGTAAATCACAATCATTCGTTTTTTTATTTCTTTCACCTTCGACTTCTCTATACGGAACGGTGTCCTAAAAAAATTGGCTAAATTATTGTTACTTCATTGCTGCATTTGTTCACGGTACAATATTACACGAAGGTAGCAGAGAGAAGATACAAATTGTAGAGAGACGAGAGATATAAAAATGTATCGCATCGTATTGTTCGCAAGATACATCAGCCAGCGTAAGAACCGCGTTAAAAATCTTCTGCACCATTTTTTCTCGAGTTTAAATATCATAGCGCCGATGTACGCTTTAAAAGTTCAATTAAGTACCATGTTTCTCGTACATCTAGCAACAAAGCTATCAAGAATTTATTCGAAGCAAACGAGATTAAAGGATTTATTGACGCTGAAGCTTGCGAATTTGTTCCTCTAGTTCTTTCACACGCAACTGACTGTTAGCTAACTGTCGTCGGACCAGTCTCAGTTCATCGGTTTGGCGAGCAAACGCCAATCTAAGCTCCGCCTCGTTGTTAGGAATGTCCACGGTCTCCAGAACTTTGTTGTCATTCAACGGCGCGGAAATAATGTTTTTCTAAAAATAAAACATTCACTATTAGTCGAAACGTGATGTTAGAGAAAGGCTGTTCAAAATATTTATGTTCATTTAACGAGCGCTCGTTTAACCGACGAGTGCTTATATGTCTCTAACTTTCCAATTCCGTCATCTTAAATTACAATAATACGAAAGCGGTATATACTTGTAACACGGCATTGCCGAATTTTTGTTGTAACTGTTGAAACTTGGTGCTCTGATTGCTAGACGTTTTCTGGCTTTTCTCCGACATATCATGAAACTCGATTGGTCTGTAGTCCGGCACAGTTTCAGTCGACAGGAATGCGAATTTCTTTTTGTTGTTCAAGTCGGTCGTCGGGGGAAGTTGAGGCGGTTTGTAAACGCGCGGCTTGTGCGTGGTTATGCTGCCACCTGTTAACATTTCGGCCGCAAAATTAAGCAACAAATATTGCAAAAAAGAGTCTCGTTAAAGATAGCGCGTGAAAAGTTCAACGGTTATACCGGTTTTCAGGGAAATTAAAATCGGTGGACTATTCATGCCGCTGATCCAGTCTCTGGCTGATAGAGCCGGACAGGTACCAACTGTGTCAGGATACAGGTCCTCCTGGAACTGGTCACTCTGGAAAGTGAAAGTCCCGATTATCGCGATGCGGATAATTAAATAAATTTATCTAACGACGAGAAATCTACCTTTCGAGGAACTATCATCGAAATCGGCTCGCACATGCCGCGAGTCGCGTGCAGCTTGTAAAATCTGAACACCTCGCATATGGAGGTGTTAACGCCTCTTTTTGGCATCACGCCCAATCCTCTCTGCGGATTACCGGAAATGAATTGGCTGAGGTAGTGCACCCAAGGAGCCTCGTTCACGATCTCGTAGTATCGGATGTTACCGTCACCCTGGAATTAAACATGCATTAAGTTCGCATTTACGAACAACCTTAAACATAGTTTTTGTACCTTGCCCGCCAAGTAGACCATATTGGTGTCGTTATCGTAGTAAGGGAAAACAACGCCGCTGGAGGAATCGATGGTTTCGCACGTCAATGGAACAGTGAGGTCGTGCTGGCTCCAAATGGCGTATTGTCTATCAGAATGGCGGCTAAAGCCGGTGGTAAGAAGACGTCCGGAACTGCCAAGGAAAACCACTTTGCTGGCTTTTGTTCCGGCATGACAGACTCCTTCCTGTTCAACGAACAATCGACACTCCTGAATCGAGCTTCATTGTGATGGCAAATGAAAGGATAGATACGTACGGATACGACAATGCCGGATCTCGGCTCGAAAACCCTCAATTTCTTATCCTTGCAGGTCGTCGCTAATAAGCTGCCATCACGATTCAAAGATATGCTATAGATCACATCAGGATGCCTGTCGATCACGCTAACGGCCTCTCCTCTATTTATATCCCAGACGATAACGAGGTGATCGAAGCCGGCGCTGAAGAGCACGTTCTCGGCCACCGGGTGCCATTCTATGTACGCAACGCGACGTTTATGTCCTTGCAACTCCACCAGCCATTCGGTTAGATTTCGGGAGAGCCCGCCGTCAGGAATGTGCCACAGTTTAATCTAAAATCGAGGAACAGTGATAAGGGGATCGTGTGAAAATCGCGAAAAGAGAGCTGGTTGCTCGGAATAATGAGAGCGAATCGCGTTGCAGCAGAGATAAGATATCCACAACATTTAGCATCCCGTTTAATATTATGCGTCGGCGAACGTTTAATTTGTAAAAGGTGATACTAGATTCTTTTTTTTTACTTTCACTTACAAGAAAGTTGTAAAATACTGTTATTCGAGTTGTATTTGAGCGAGAAAGAGGAAAGCCTCACTGACAGGCGATGGAAAAGCTGACATTTTACGAGCGTCGACAGAAATAATGATAGCTTGATGCATGTCAAACGACCAGTTTCGAAACATAGAAAGTAGAAGATTTGATGGCGTAAAGTAGTACTTATGATGTATCAACCGAAGCTTCCAGTTTGATGGAAATGGTCATAAAACTTAAGGTACTTTAAAGTGGGCAATAAAGTAACTGCAAACGATTTCCTAATTATTCTGAGCAACGCAACCAAATCGAGTAATCCTACGGTGCAATCGTCGGAGCAGGAAGCGATGATGTTATCGTTGAACGGATTCCACTTGATATCCAGAACTGGTCCAGTGTGTCCAGTCACTCTGCTCGCATTGAAATCCAGCCTTCCGGTCTAAAATATAGAATAATTAGTCATCGTGAGAATTTACATTCGCTTCATTTAAAAGTGTGCGATGCTCAACGCGAACCACCCCGTAGATTTCCTAGAGTTCCAATAACATTAACCTATCACGCTATTTGCGTCGGTTTATAATCGAATGATAAAGCAACCCCGTTGATAGGCTATCAGGTAATGGTCGCGCGCCAGAATCAAGCGAATCAATAAGTCGATAACTCACACGATCGAGCGGCAGCACCAGGAACGCCCCGCCGCCGGCCACTTCTGTCACCACGGCGAGGAACTTCGGATTGACGGCGCAGAATTGCGAATCGTGGGCGTTCTTCGTGATCTTGATGTTGTCGTAGCATTTTTCCCTCTTCGCTGGTACCCCGTACACGTGGCGAAATTTGCTGCTTCGAACGCCACGGAACCATGACTGGAAAAACGTATCGCACACATTATAATTAGCTATTTAATCAATTTATGCAATTACTCGCTTTAGTGATGAACATAATTATGCTCATACGGTAGACTCTTATTATATTGCCATTTTCGTATGAAGCTTGGTACATGATAACAGTTCGTATCTGCGCGTTATATGATTGTTATATCAACACGTACTGTAACCACACGCTGTATCACTGTTGTGTTACCTCGCGCTATATCGCCGTGTTATATCACCACGTATTATATCACCGTGTATTGTATTATATCACTGTGCGTTGCATCAATATATATTATATCACCGTGCATTGCATAATCGTGTTATATTGCCGCGTTAGATAATTACTCGTTATATCACCGAGTAACTAAATGTTTAAATAAAATGTAAGAATAAAATTTGCAAATATTTCACTGATCTATTTTCCATTTATATTTCATCGGTTGTTGCGTTAATATTTAACCGTACGGTCATTAAAAACTAATTTAATTCTCATTTTCCCTAAGTACCTCTATTCCCACAGTCTCATGTACATGACTAGCAAGTCTGTCGTTATCAGATATTTGTCAAACATGTTTCTAGTACAAATTTCGTAAAAATTTCCTTATTAGTGAACTGATCCCTGACCTAAGAAGCAATTCAAACAAGATTTAGCAATAGGAATTAATTGTTATCAGTCGGTTAAATAATAGGTTCGATAACGAGCAAATTATGACGCGCATAACCGCGCTCGTTTTCACTGCACCAAGCCGACCAAATCGTTCGTTGTTCGATTTGGTACTAATCGCAAGGTCAACAGCACGTTAAAGATTTGCTGTTTGGGACTCTCTCCGGTTCAGAAACCGTGAAGAAGAAAGTTTCGGAACAAGCCGAAAGCGTGTTACCAACTCGACACATGGTATATCACTATCGCTATCAGGTTTTTTGAATCGTACCCGTTGCTCCGCATGGTGATCCATAGTATCGAGCAACGCCTCTACAGCGTACACCATCGATTCGCTTCGCGAACGCAATGATAATCGCGCAAACGTGAAATCTTTTTTTTTCGAGTTAGTCGCGCGTGATGCGTGTTAACCGCGGAGCGCAGTGTAGCGCGGCGAGACAGATCAAATTATGCGACTTTTTCTTGCAATAACGAACAACGTGTTCCAACCGTTAATACACGGCTAAACTGTAACCGTAATACCGTATCGTAAAGATTGCCGCGATTAACGGTACGCTTTTGCGTCACTTTTCGTTGGAACGCGAATCGTGACACGCTTTATCATGCGTGGGTTACTTATGACCCATGCTCTTTTGCGAAGTCGAGTGTTGATGACTTTCGTATAGATTTTTAATTACTGAGATTTCAAATTTTCAAGTTTACTTTCGATTTTCGAATTTGGAGATAGGGAAATTTGGGAAGTTAGGTACTTAGGTAGTGGTGTAGTTAGGTAGTTGGGCAGTTAGGGATTTGGGGAGTGGTGTACTTTGGTACTTGGATATTTAGGAATTTAGGTACTGGTATATGGAAATAGGTATTTAGGATATTTAGGTACTGATATATTAGGTATTTAGGTACTTGGATATTTAAGAATTTAGGTACTTGGATATTTAAGAATTTAGGTACTTGGATATTTAGGAATTTAGGTACTTGGATATTTAGGAATTTAGGTACTGGTATATGGAAATAGGTATTTAGGTACTTTGATATTTACGAATTTATGTATTGGTATATGTGGTATTTAAGTACTTGAATACGGATATTTAAGAATTTAGGTACTCGGATATTTAAGAATTTAGGTACTTGGATATTTAGGAATTTAGGTACTGGTATATGGAAATAGGTATTTAGGTATTTTGGATATTTGGGATATTTAGGTATTAATATATGAGGCATTTGGGTACTTGGATATTTAGGGATTCAGATACTTGGATATTGAGGAATTTAGGTACTTGGATATTTAGGAATTTAGGTACTGGTATATGGAAATGAGTACTTAGGTACTTGGATATTTGGGGTATTTAGGTATTAATACATGAGATATTTGGATACTTAGATATTTAGAAATTCAGGTACTTGGATATGTATTGAAGAATTTAGGTACTTGGATATTTAGGAATTTAGGTACTGGTATATGGAAATAGGTATTTAGGTACTTTGATATTTACGAATTTATGTATTGGTATATGTGGTATTTAAGTACTTGAATATTTAGAAATTTAGGTACTGATATATGAGATATTTAGGAATTTAGGTCCTAGTATATTGAGATACTCACATAGTTAGGTACTGTATACTACATCAAGGTACTTAGGTATTTAGGAATTTAGGTGCTAGTATACTTAGGTACTTCAGTATTTAGGTCTTGGTATATTTAGGTACTTAGGAATGTAGATATTTAAAAATTTCCTAATTTAAAAATTCAGGTTGTGCCAAACCACTGTGCTTGTATAACAAAGCTTGTATAGCTGAAGTTCCATATACATATGATCCTTTTAATAATTTTCTCATTCCTACACCGGTTCGGGCCATATAGCGAGACTCTACCGCATTAAGAGCATTCGCAATAATTTATAACATTCATAATATTTGTATTATATTCATATGAATATTTATATAATATTATCACACATATAAATACATATAACAAAATCCTTGAGACATCAATGACACCGTGATAAAAATACTAAAGGACTCTGAAAATATTTCAAAATTTCCTTTAATAAAATCTGACTCACAGATTTACTCATAGTTTCCGACAACGGCTTACAATCGATTATATCAACTTTGACTGTTGAGCTTTTTATCTCGTATTCAAGCTCGCAATCATCGACTCAGCGTGAATATACAATTTTAAACAATCGCACACGACAATCTTGGTATGACAAATATATTACCCGGATTTCAGATATATTCATCGATTCGTTGTTAAGAATATTAACAAATTATTAAGTAATTGTAGAAGAAATTCAATCGACCACGATCATCACTATAATTAGAAATAATCCTTGCCGCTGTTCTACGTCCACGTTCACGAATGACCTCACGATTTATTACAACCGAATCGATAATAGAATACAATATCAATCTCATTTCGCATCTTGCGTCACGCTTTGCATACAACATGCCTTAAAGATGAGAAAAAAAAAGTCCTGTGCGTCGTCTGTACAAAATAAAACACAATTACGTATCGTACAGAGTGTTCAGACATTTACTTCGTCATGCAAACAATATCTGTGCAAATGTAATCGAAAACAACCGCAGACAAGATGTGGCTAAGTATATAGTAAAATGGAGATTGAGTTTATGTACATACATTAAGTGCATCGTGCGAATAATCTTTAAACAAAAGGTCTTGATTCTTTATGCCGTCTTGCGTCTTTTTCTTTTCGCTTTGTTTCGACGGACAGAAAGAATCAGAATTATTCTTATAAATTCTTATAAGAACAATTTTCCTATAAATTCAAGTTATGTTCTTGTTGGATACAAATCTATTCATGTAACATTTAAATGTTTATATGTAATATTTGATCATTTTGTATATTTTGTACTTGTTGGAATTTGTTCATGTATATGTTGTATATTGTGAACCATTTTGTGAAACTGAAACTTTAGGAGTAATACTTTATTTGAAATTTTAGCTAAGCTACAATTAATATTAAATTCTACGAGACTGTTTTAACTCTTTGTCTTAGATAACAGATCATTGTACCTGTGCTGATAAGGAGCGGTATCGATAAGTATTGGATTTCCGCAGAATTATTACAAGTTTATGTTTGAATATCTAATTCAAGAATTCTTGTAAAAGACTTACAAAGAGTTCGAAACAGAAGCTCAAATATCACTAAACTTCAAGTCTGAAATATTAATCTTTTAGTCTACATCTGAATCCTCTTGTAGTCACATATTCAAATATCTAAATATTCAAGCATCTAAATAATCAAACATCCAAAAACTTCTAACACAAATTAAATTTAAAATTCAAATAACCAAACATACTACAAGTCCGATACCCCACAATTGTGTCCGAATTCATAATTTAAAATTCCAATACCTTTAGCTAATTTCTGACTCCAATCAATTCTGGTTCCAAGTATCAATTTCGAAAGTGTGCTATTTCGGTTAATTTATAGAGGGAGATCCAACAAGAACAGTAACAGGCAGGAATTAATCGTCGCGTAACACCAAAAGCACTCACCTGTTTGTCGTTGGTCATGTCTGATACTAATCAAGCCGAGTGAGCAGGTAGTCGGGTACACGTGCGCGGTGAGACGGTGGTCGCCAGTGCACAACAGGAACGTAGGAATTGAACAAGCCAGTACCCATGCATTGGAAGGAGAGAAAATTCAACTATTACTTCGAAACTCGCGATCGTGGGCGTTCGCTGGTCGAGGCGGCGCGGCTGCACCGAACTTTTCCGCTTTACTGGAAGAAAAGGGAACACGAGGCCTAATTACACGGAATCATCGAATCGCGATGGAATCGTTTATCGATCGTCGCCTTTTTCCGCTTCGAGATGGAAGTAATTTCAATTATACACTCTTGGAGATTAGGTCCCTTCCCGATGGAATATTTCGTTCTTTTCCTTTGCTGAAAGTTGCGCTTTCTTGCGGAGAAATTATCATTCTTAGGATATCACCCGAATCGGTGACTGAGTGTGATGGTAGGATTCCACTTCCAAGTTTCGAAATTTTTCAAATTCCCTCAAATTATCAACCCTTCTATACCTCTCCAATACTCCTCCAACTCTCAAACCCCTAATTTAAAAAATTTCCCCAACTCCAAAGACCCCTACCCTACAAACCCCTCAGTACTGATCACCTTAGCATATTAAAATTCGAATCTTAAAAAATCCGTAACCATCGATTTTATCGGCCCAAACGACGTGTTCCTGTGTTCGTCGTGAGTGGAACAGTCAAAGTACGAAAGCAACAGCGGAGATTCTAGAGATAAGTGGAGAAAATCATCGATGGAAGAGGAAGGTACACGACGTTAATGTTTAACGTCGGGCGGCGCGCGCGAGATGAATATTTCATCGGCGCGCTTAAAGCTTTGGCTCGTCGGTCGAATAACTTGCGTCCACTTGCGTCACGCTTGAAAATCGATGTCGCCTATAAAGGAAGGAGAAGGATGAGGTATGTCGACGAGTCTCTAGATTTTTGTCCGATCGGTTCGTGGAACGATAACCGTTCGAATTTCGACGCGGCGCTGAATGTAAATAAACGGCATCGGTTTTGCAAAGTGTTCCACGGTATTACCTAACGGGAAGATAACAGAATTCTCTGTCATCGTTCATTTTTTTACCCTACGTTCCGATTTCTATATTTTACAAATCGGATCGGAGGCAAAGTTTCTCCGAGTTGATTTATCGACTGGGTCGAATCTTCGTTCACGCTGAATAACGTGTTACGTACGTAAATGAGAGTTTATTTATTTGCAGGAAGTTCTTTTATGAGCCGATGGAATTCGCGAAGTGTTCCGGAGATCGGTCTTTAAAAAGTAAGCTACGTTTATGCTTTTCGACTCGAGCACCATCGTCCGCGATTCGTCGAGAGGTGAACGGTTAAAGAACGAAAGAAACCGCCGAGATACGTGCGGAAAATGGGAAAAATGAACCGTCGGTTGAACCGCGAGTTGCTCGCTGATCTACATTCTTCCACGGACATACACTCTTCGAGCGATAGAATATTCAAACACCGGATGTTCTACTTTGTGCAAACTTCGATAAGCAAGTCACGGTGGCAAACGAAAGAAAGAAATGAACGCGCGATGAGAGATTTTTTTTACGAAACGAACAAGGGAAACACTATTTTTGCAGCAACCTAATACTTGAGCGGTCGTTGCCAACAGCCTATTCTTTCCTTCTGCACGCTTGAACCTCGTGCATGAAGAAACGGACTGAAGAAGCCGACGAAAAAACAGCAACACTCTCGTAACGTTACTTGGTCGCGGTTAATGCGCACTTCTAGCGATCGCTAACTTTCGAACAGGTTCGATAAGCGGTACCATTGCCGATTAACATATGTTAGGGACATAGAAACCTAGACAAAATAAGAAGCGATAGAATATGGGGAATAATCATTACCGATTTAGGGATATGAATTAACTGACACATAAATGCTCGTCGGTCGAATAACTTGCGTCCACTTGCGTCACGCTTGAAAATCGATGTCGCCTATAAAGGAAGGAGAAGGATGAGGTATGTCGACGAGTCTCTAGATTTTTGTCCGATCGGTTCGTGGAACGATAACCGTTCGAATTTCGACGCGGCGCTGAATGTAAATAAACGGCATCGGTTTTGCAAAGTGTTCCACGGTATTACCTAACGGGAAGATAACAGAATTCTCTGTCATCGTTCATTTTTTTACCCTACGTTCCGATTTCTATATTTTACAAATCGGATCGGAGGCAAAGTTTCTCCGAGTTGATTTATCGACTGGGTCGAATCTTCGTTCACGCTGAATAACGTGTTACGTACGTAAATGAGAGTTTATTTATTTGCAGGAAGTTCTTTTATGAGCCGATGGAATTCGCGAAGTGTTCCGGAGATCGGTCTTTAAAAAGTAAGCTACGTTTATGCTTTTCGACTCGAGCACCATCGTCCGCGATTCGTCGAGAGGTGAACGGTTAAAGAACGAAAGAAACCGCCGAGATACGTGCGGAAAATGGGAAAAATGAACCGTCGGTTGAACCGCGAGTTGCTCGCTGATCTACATTCTTCCACGGACATACACTCTTCGAGCGATAGAATATTCAAACACCGGATGTTCTACTTTGTGCAAACTTCGATAAGCAAGTCACGGTGGCAAACGAAAGAAAGAAATGAACGCGCGATGAGAGATTTTTTTTACGAAACGAACAAGGGAAACACTATTTTTGCAGCAACCTAATACTTGAGCGGTCGTTGCCAACAGCCTATTCTTTCCTTCTGCACGCTTGAACCTCGTGCATGAAGAAACGGACTGAAGAAGCCGACGAAAAAACAGCAACACTCTCGTAACGTTACTTGGTCGCGGTTAATGCGCACTTCTAGCGATCGCTAACTTTCGAACAGGTTCGATAAGCGGTACCATTGCCGATTAACATATGTTAGGGACATAGAAACCTAGACAAAATAAGAAGCGATAGAATATGGGGAATAATCATTACCGATTTAGGGATATGAATTAACTGACACATAAATCTACATGTATGAATGTAGAGATATAAAAAGATATATATCTGCATCTGTAAAAATCTAGTGACTTTTACAGAATACATGTCTAGTGACATTTAAGGATATTCACCACTGAGTAGTAACATCTAGGGATATTTTGAGATATTTAACAACATCTAGGGATATTTGGAGATATCTAGCAGCATCTAGAGGTATTTTGAGATATCTAGTAACATCTAGGGGTATTTTGAGATGTCTAGTAACATCTAGGCATATTTTGATATATCTAGTTACATCTGTGGATATGTAGGGTCATCTAGGGACATATGGAAAGGCCTAGTGATATCTGGTAACATTTTTCGATTTATAAAGATCTAGTAGTATTTGGTGATATCTGGTAGTGTCTAGTAATATCTGATGACATCTATGATTATATAGAAATATCTCGGGATATCTGGTAATATCTAGTAACATCTCATATTTGGTGACATCAGATGTATAAAAATATCTAGGGATATCTGAAGATACTTAATAATGTCTAATTAGTATCTGGTAATATCTAGTAACACCTCATACTTGGTGACATCAGATGTATAAAAATATCTAGGGATATCTGAAGATAATAATGTCTAGCTGATATCTGGTAATATCTAGTGGTATCTAATAATACGTAGAAATATTACCTAATGATATCTACATATGCATATCCAGCAATATCTCAATATATCTCGAGGTGTATATCGATATCTATGCCCCTCGAATCTGTTCTCGATAGCGACGTAAAGAAAAATGAAATTCACGACTCAAAGAATGTTATCGTGATTATCTCGTTTGGATTTGTAGCTTTTACAAAGTAGTTTATATTCCGTATGACACGGAATGCGTTAACAAGATAATTCCCGCCATTTCCGGCTTCACCGAAGAAACACCAACTCCTGCGTATAATTTCTACCCGCATGTGTAGTACACGCGTTTAATCGTGTTTAGAAAGAAAAAGAAAACAAGAAAGAGAGTCGTCGGGACGTTGAACGGGCACGTAGATGCACCGGACGAACGATTTACACAAAGGGCGTCTCAAAAACCTACTGCGTGACTCATAGTTTCTTTTTTGCCGCACATATATTTTCGTTGGTGTAACACTTTGCTAATTTCTCGCGCGCTCTAATTTGCGCGTTTCTCAATCCAGATTTGGGTTAGCCGCACGATGATTCAAAAAGAAGGCCGCATTGTATTCTGAGAATCGAATTCGTTTCGAGACCTATAATACTTGTATTCCTTTCGAGGTAAAAACGAACCACCACGGAATATACTCTTGCACACCGCGAAGTTTGTTTAGAAGCGTAAACGGTAACGCACAATCGTTGAAAACGGTATCCCAAGTTCACGCGATCGCCGAGAAAGAGATAGCAACTGTTGGTAATCGGTTGCACGGTCACGCAACGTAGATTCATTGAGACAGTACCGCGTAAAAAAAGAGCACTACGTACATGTACGATCGTGTAGTAGAGTTCCAGGCGCGCGCGTTAGATCGCGAAAGTCGCCGAGCCAGCACTGACTGACTTGACTGGCGATGGTTATATAGCCGCTGCCTGATGCCAGCCGGGTGTCACGTGGCACGCTTATCCGTGCTTCTTTCAATGCAGTAGCCTGACGTTTTTGCCTTTTTTTATACTAACGCGCATTGTCATTACGACACACGATTCTTTTCGAATTTTTTCTCTATCGAGTAGAAATTAAAATCCATACCTACCACTTCTGTTGCAACTCGAACGCGAGGCCCGGCGTACACTGTAACGCAACGTCGATTCGTGCTTTGTTAAAATGCTACGTGTATACATGCAATAATCGTGCAGAGACACTGAACAGACAGGTAGACTTCGATCCGATTGCGACTTGACAAGATGAAACTAATTAATCGAAGTTAAATGTATAGGTTAGAAAAGACGAGATGACACGAGTGCTATCGAAAGTATCTTTGGAATATACAAGAGGTTATTTGCATCACTCAGAGAAATTTATTCGTTATTGTAAACATAAATGAATACTTCCTTAAAAAAGTGGAACTGTTGTCCCCCATCGTGAACGCCAATTAATGCCAATTTTGTTAAATCAAGTCGAACGATAAAGTAGAACAGTTTAAGTACTTCTTGATTCATAAACAAAGAGTAACGGTATAGCTTAACGATTATATGCGATCGGTTAATATCTGTTAATACTTGTAAGTCAAATCTAATTAATAATAGTCGATAATAATTCCCATTTACCATATCTTTTTAATGAAAAAAGGCATGCTTAATAGAACACACATTATCAAAGTATCGATTAATAAATAAAAATACATGCTGAAGTGCGTTTAGACTGAACGAATGCTCATTCATCCTCCATTTCGAAAAAATTCAAATGTCAACGAACATTCTTCCGCAAAACAAGTTCGTATATTGAATCGATTGGACGGGTTTCAATTTAATGTGATTCAATTCCGATTCGTTGCGACCTAATTCAATTATATACAATTCGAGTCAATATGACTCGATTCAATGCTTTTTAATTCGACACAATTCAATTTGCCGTACAGTGCATTCGAACGCTCGTTCGGAACTGCACGAACTTTCGCTCGCATTCAGCTGTTTGATACAATCGAACGGTTCCCTCGATAGTCGATTACAATGGAGCACGAACGAATGCTCTTACTCCTGCGCTGCGTTCTTCCCCGTTCAATCAAAACGCACCCTTACAAATAAAACCGTCAAGCAAATCTAAATATATTGTACTATTCACATACATCAATTTATAAGAGAAACACGAAAGAACAAAAACATCGAACATGACAATCTTACTTTTCCGCTGGGCTTGTAGCACGCTCTGACGTCTACCATATTGTTCAATAAAGTATGAGTGTCATCCACGCCTTCTAGGCCCAATTTTTCCGCCAATTCCTCCCTCGTACGTATCATTTCCCAGTTTGCGATGTTATATCCCATAGAAGCTTCGATCTATCGAATTGTCCGCCTTCGACTCGTGCCACCCGGCCACCGTTGTATCTGTCGCGTATTATTTATTGACCGCCCGTCGATATTTGAAAGTCCGCTGTCAGAGGCTCTCTATATACCTAAACGTCAAACAAGAAGAACGTTTCACGAGTAATGGACAATTACGAGCCACGTGCGAACGCTTCCGTCCACCGATTTCGTAACTCACTCACTGAACACGCTAGCACATGTACACGACGTATCGATTTGACGTGCGCGCAACATGTAAACACGAAAGCACGCCGCCTCTCGAACAGTGGTTACTCGCCGCTATGCCACGAATCGAAAGAATATCGCACGTTTCCATTAAACTGCGTCGCTTTATGCCTGGCAGGAGATCGGAGAATTGCGCGCGAGTTCCTCGTCGACACGCGAACACGCTGTGCCACCGAGTAACAACGCATTTACTCTCGCAAGTAGAAAGCACATCCTTTTTATCCGTCGATCGCGTATCCTTTTCTCGCGTTTACTTCGCGATGTATTCAAAATGTTTACATTAACATTCATTCGAAATTGCTCGAAAGCGAACGAACTCGAAACGCGTACTTTCGATTCGTGACACAACGCACGCCTGTTATTTTATTTTTTTGAATTAGCGCTAATACACGTGTGTATGAGACAACCGCTTTTAACGTACACAAACTGTGCGTTACAGGTATTCGTATCACGTCACGATACAAATCACAATTTTGAATATTTGCGGCTTTCGAGTATCGCTTGATGAAAAATGAATTTGTTTCGCGGTGAAAGGAGAAACCACGTCACGGAATGGCTTTAAAGTTCGCGGTCAGTGTACACACGATCCGTGTAGAAACGCAGTTTAATCTGATGTAACACTGGCGGAGCGTCACTCACCATTTCATCCGTGCAACACCGATTTACATATCGATTTTGAAAGGAAGCGAGAACACGCCGTGATGGAAGGCGGTCTGCTCGAGAAACGGTGTGTGAAAGACGGTTACACGAATTGAACGAACAAAGATGAATAAATTTAAATCAAACAGCTATACATACATAAAATCAAATATGCGTGCGTTCAGATACTTGAATATTTCATGAATCAATGTTGTGAAATAGAGAACAGTTAAATTCGCACAGAGCTGTGCCTACAGTTTGCGGGGCCCCGGGTATAAGTCCACATTATTTGGACTAGATAAATTCATTCCAAATTATGAATTACTAATATATAATAAATGCATTTTGTATCTGTCATGTTTTATATTTTACACATTGTGAAATACAGAAATTATATTTTTCTAATTAAAAGGTCATACTCAATTCGCGCATCTCGACTAACTTCAGTAGGTTCCCTAGCATTTGATGCTATACCACGGTCATGCGCTTTGTATTTATTTTGCTGGCCATGTATATGGTGGACAAAATATACGAACAACTGGATTAGAATAACCAGCTTGGAGAATTGAAGACTTTTTAGATCACCGAGTACGTCGCCTTGCATCAAGAATATGGTAAAAGTGCATGCGCGTTGCTCTCGATCACGAAACGTATTCGAACCAATCAAATCTACTGTGCGCAGAATGAACAAGAATTCATTGAATGATGAGTATGATCTCCCGTTGAACGAGCAATACCTGTTGTATTATTTTATTATATTGACCGTCGACGCAATTCAGTCGTTCTAGTACATTTAGAAACGACTGTTTGGTGTCGCTACTGTAATTCGGCGATTATCAGGTGGCTTGAAAAATAGTACCCGTCGATTGTATTATTTGAATAGGTTATGATGTACAAAAAAGATATACAAAATGTTTAATTAGAATATTAATGCTTTATTAATATAATTTAAAAAGTGCTTAATTACTCAGATAATGGGTTCCGATCACACTCACAGACGATGGAGCAATTTGCGAAAAGTATTGGAGAGATCAGGTCCTTTTTGCAGACCCGATTTCGAACCATCGTCAGACACCTTACAATTTATGCTGGACAATTGTAAGATTCTAGTTATAGGTGCCGGTGGTTTAGGATGCGAATTACTTAAAAATTTAGCGTTAATGGGATTTAGACAAATTCATGTGATCGATATGGACACAATTGAATTGTCTAACCTTAATCGGTATGGAAATATAATTTAAGCACAACCTTTAGATTCTAGTACGCTATAAAATATGAAGAATTTAATTAGAAAAAATTACAGGCAGTTTTTATTCCGTCACAATGATATTGGTTCATCAAAAGCAGAGGTAGCTTCAAAATTTATTAATGCTAGAATCCCAGGCTGTAATGTTGTATCGCATTGTTGTAAAATACAAGACAAAGATGAAGAATTTTATAGACAATTCCATATAGTAATTTGTGGCCTGGATTCAGTAGTTGCAAGAAGGTGGATCAATGGTATGCTACTGTCCCTTTTAGTTTACAAAGATGGAGAATTAGATCGTTCTAGCATAATACCAATGATTGATGGAGGAACAGAAGGTTTTAAAGGAAATGCAAGAGTAATACTTCCTGGTCTGACTGCTTGCATTGAATGCACGTTAGATTTATACCCTCCTCAGGTGAATGTTACAAACAAGTTATTAACATATTGCAGTCCTTGTTAATTAAGATTGTATTACTTTGATATGCAGGTTACATATCCATTGTGTACAATAGCTAATACTCCACGTCTGCCAGAGCATTGTATAGAATACGTAAAAGTAATCCAATGGCCGAAAGAAAATCCATTTGACTGTCCAATCGATGGTGATGATCCCCATCATATAAATTGGATTTATGAGAAGTCTAATGAAAGAGCAACACAATTTGGTATACAGGGTTTAACATACAGACTAGTACAAGGAGTAGTAAAAAACATTATACCAGCAGTAGCATCTACAAATGCTGTTATTGCTGCAACATGTGCTACAGAAGCATTTAAACTTGCTAGCAGTTGCAGTGCATCATTGAATAATTACATGGTACTTGTCACAACAATACAAGTTAAAAATATGTCTTTTCTATAACTTAATAAACAAATGATTTCCTTTCAAAGGTACTCAACAATGTAGATGGAATCTATACTTACACTTATGAAGCAGAAAGGAAAGAAGACTGTGTAGCTTGTAGTCAAATTCCAAAAGAAATTGAAATTGATAATCCCAAATCTAAGTTGAAGGATTTGATAGAGCTTCTGTGTGAAAGATCTGATTTGCAAATGAAAAATCCAGGTCTCACGGCATGTATTAACGGCAAAAACAGAACTCTGTACATGCAAACTGTACCAAGTATAGAAGAAAAAACCCGCGAGAACTTGACGAAATCATTAGCTGAACTTGGTTTGAGAAACGGCAGTGAGATCAATGTCGCTGATATTACTACTCCTAATGCGATTGTATTAAAATTAAAATTTGTATATTCTGATTCAGAAATGTGCTAATCAAAAAGCATCCTTCATTTTGATCATGAATTTATCACTATACGTCATCATATATTTACAGTACTTATATTGCTTTTTTGTTACTTTAAAAAGTGGCATTGAGCCAAAAATTGATCAACATTATCCTTATCGAAATAATAAAAATAAAAACACTTTAATTTAATACTATTTTTTTTAACGAGCCTAGAAGTAGATATCACACGATGAAATTATTTTGAACATTGTTTTAATATCAATTCATTCGAATTTTATGTAATAAATTGGCATTGCTTAATATTTTTAATTTTTTTTTTGTTTTCTTTTCTTTTGTAGCGCTAATTTTTTTCTTGGACTAATCTTAAGTATAACAGAAGCAAGTATTAAAACTATATTAGTTTATATGACATACCTGTTACATTAACAATAAAGACACGGCAGCAAATATGTTTCTATATTTATGACGTCTCGTTTTTCATTTTTCACCAGAGATTATATCGTAGAAAAATTAGTAAGTCATAATCTATAAAATTCTATCTTGCTTGTTCATAGTTTTTCTTTGACGAATTTGTTAGAAATAGACAGTATCTTACAGATTATGCATTATTTATCTTGAAAGAGAAACAAGGAGCAGTATAATGATCTGCAGAATATGCACGTGTCAAAATCTATACTTGTTAGTTTGTCGTTAATTTTCTTTAACAACAATTTTATGTTATGAATTTTGTGCACAGTCCTCTTTTGCGTAGTAGACACTAACGATCTCTGTGCAATAAAATTATTCTTACTTTTATTATTTAAAATTTCGTTAAAACGATAAAAACTTTGTCGAAGAAGATGCATGGATTCAACCTTTCCATAGTACATGTTACTTTTATTGCAAGTATAATACCAAATATAATGGAAAGATGCTCCGACGAGGGCAAATGAAGGACAGTGCACCTATCACTTAAGATATCTTTTGTTTTACAAGCACACTCGGTAACATTCGACATATGCACAACTTGAGTAGAAAAAATATCTATAACAGATACATTATCTATCCTCCTTATTACAAAACTATTATTACATCGTATTAATATTTTATAATTTCCGCTTTTTTCCTCGGCAAGACTATTACTCCCCATAATTATCTTGTCCTCTGAAAGATTCTATTTTCTTTTACCCTCACTCGAACGTGAATGATACGAAATGCACCTGTGATTAGTTCCTACATTTACTTTAAACACGCATTAGAAATTCGCGTGGACATAAACTTAAACAGAATAAAATATTTATTGATGGTCGGGGAATTCTTGCAACGAAATACTCCGAGGTTCATTGGCATTTCATTGTTTATGCGAAATCCGAATATGGACATTCATTCCAATTGTACAATTCGAAATTAAGTGTTTTTGTATGGTAATAATCCTCATTGATTAAATGTGAATCAGCTAGTAGAAAACTAGCAACGGTGTCGAAGTGAATCGTATAACGTTCAACAATGCACTGAGAAACTATACTTATATTGACTATGATTCCATTGAAGCAATTTCTTTGTAATGCAATTAAATTTCAAGTAAATACGACTTAACTCAATATAGTTTTTTTTGTTTATAATTTTTACAAAATCAAAGTCGTATTTTCTTCCATGTGGCTCGGTCAAATTAATTCGCACAAAACAGTCATATACTCTCACCATTGTTTGCGAAATATTCACATGTTCAAATTGTAATACATCAGCTGCAAAACGTCTTATGAATAATCATTGTTCAATGTAAAATAATACCATGGTCCATTAAAAGATACGTCGGTATAAAAACGTAAGTTCCAATAAATGGCGCAGCATTAAGAAGTGTCATAAAGTCCGATTCTTTCAGGGCAGAATCCGACACTTTTTGAATTAACGTGGATCCAGTTATGTTATCAAAAAATAATCAAAGGAGACGTAGTGAAGGGAGACGATACGATGAATTGCAATTTATCAATGAAGCGCTCCAATAAAAGAAAAAAGATATTAAGATAAGGTGATGTTGAAAAGTGTCTAATTTCTGCTCTGAAGCTACTGAATAAAAGATAACGTAAAGTGCACGATGTTATTAATACGTCATGATGAACACTAAAATGGTTGTGTTAGGCCTTGGCATCAACTTCCATCGCTACTTCACCTACGGCTTTTTCAGCCTTCTTTTTCTTCTTCTTTGCAGACTTCGGGTTTGCTGAGGTACACAAAAGGGTCTGAAAATGAAACATTAAATTAATGAAAATTCATTGAAAAGTTAGAAAGAACATCTAAATCCTACCTTTAATTCAGGATCTTTAACAACACAATCAGATTGATAAACATCAAGATCAAAAGGAATTCCTGTTATTTTATGTGGCCCATTGGGCATTAATAGTACCGTAAATTTAAACTGTGCAGCAAATTCATTTGGTTTTTCGTAAAGAACCTAGAATTTTAATAAAAATATGTAAATACGAGAAACTTGAATTGCACAGAAAAATTATATGTATAATATAGACTTACTTGGAATGGCTCAATCAACCTATGGTTTACACATTCCACTACTGCCATTTTTGCCTTCTTTTCGTCTTCGAAAGTACGCAAATTAAATGGCATAAGTCCATGTTTATGAGTGACTTCAGAGTAAAACATGCGTGACGCTTTTAACTTTAGCTGATATGTTTCCTCTGTTTTTTTAAATATAGTAACCCGAGTGTCCTGTTCTCGGCCTACTCCTTCGCCAGTACTAACCAAAACATCCATAGCATACACCTAATTCAAAAAATTCATATGTATTACATGAATGTTTTTTTGGTCATGCTCAACACAATATTAAATGCATTTTACCTCATGAGTTTCAAGGGTATATTTTTCATGTTCCTTTTTCTGTGCATCATTGGGATTTTGGATTATAGTTTTTTCGCCATCTATTTTAAATTGTTTCAATTGATGACTGAGCATTCCTTCAATTGGTTTACATTTATATGCTTCACAAATTTTTTCAACTGTTCCTGTTATCGTATATGTCTAGAAAGAGGAAACATTATATAAAATATATTGAAATCGAAAAGGCATAAGTTATTATGTATATTACATGGTACTCAAGCAACTCACCTCTGTACCTGGCTTTAGAAGCCTTAATGCAGCTTGAGACGCATAGTGTGCAGCTAACACTACATCTGCTTTCCTACCAGTAACTTTCTTTTCTGACGAAGAACCTATAACAATAGTGTGTGCCACAACTGCTATAAAGCCATCAATGTGTGCTCCAAGATCTCTAAAAATATGAACCAACAATTACTTTAAAAGAAAGATATTATAATTTTAAACTATAGCATCACATATGTTATTTTTACAGATCATATACCTACACTTTTACCATGTCCTCATCTTTAAGTATGAGGTCTGGTTCACTTGCAATTGGCGAGAAGTGACAAATACAATTATTGACCGATATGCATGTGGGAAAAGCAATTCCCTTTTTCAATTCTTTCTCTTTCTTAAAAACCTTGCTGGTTTCTTCAAGTAATAACTTGTCTCCATATTCACAAATTTCTCTTACCGATGCTCCAACAATGCATTTGTCTAACACTTGCTTTAGTACTCCTGAAAGGATAAAAATATATTTGTTGTTAGAAGCAGTTATATTTATAGCTGAACGAAATCTACACGAACAAAATAAGAATTTACTAAAAATTAGATTATATTATAATTAGATTTATAAAATTTATTTCATACATTAATAATAATCAAATATACAATTGAAATAAAAAGTAAAAAACTAACACAAAGTAAAATTGGCCATACAACATGAAAGTGTTCATATGATATTTAACGACTGATCGTTTTACGGAAATGGAAACATTGAGATACAAGAATTCATAGTAGATTATGGTCACTGCTAAAAATGTTACATAGCGATAATAAACTAAAATCGATGATTTTCAAGAGTGCCTAGTGAAAAATGAATAATTCGTTGTCCACAGATCATTAAAATATCATGGAAGATTTAAGATATTAATAAATTATCGGGATGTAATAGTCAATGCTATCTATCCCACATGGTAAGGGAGCCCGGCATTAGCGCGCCACATTCCATATGGCCAGGTGGAAAATAACACAGTAAGATGCTCATGCTTTCATGAGACAGTTTCACTCTTGATTTCTGGGCTTCATTAGAGAACGTTAATTCGTTTTCTTACGATTTACGATCTCGCCGGCCATTTTATACTTGGTGACAACCAAGTCTTCGGCGATGGTCTTCTCATTCTCCTCTTTGTCCGCCATGTCTTCAGCACACTATGTTACGATCACGTGACTTACGACTGCTTTGCAGTTGCTTCCTGCAAACGCTACTCACTCCGTTTCGAACATGAACATAGGAATATAGGCACAGAGTATATCCTTAAGGGGGGAAGCCATTGAGGGACGAGGTGGAAAGAAAACGATGCCCAATTTTAATTGGCTGTTGTTTGCTACAACTTCAAATTTCGAATAAAACTGTGCGTTCCAAAATTTTGTATACGTGACTTTTACAAGAGTTTATATGTCAATGCACTTTTTCAACTATATTTAATAAATTATTGTTCGAAAACTGCTGTATTATTGCTTAAAAACATATTTCATTTCTGGACACTGATGACATCAAATTATTCCAACTTTTTTTTGTTTTAATTATAAAGGAACAAATATTTTTAATTATTAATATTAAAAATTTATTAAAATTATATGTAATTCAGTTAAAATATTTTCTTGTCCTCAACTTTGTGATACATGGCATTAACCGACTTGTATCTATCTAGAACGTGTTTCATGCCTTATGGGTCCTGAGGTTGGTCGTGTGGTTCATCGGAACGCGAATTTGATTTACGTTGCTTTAAATTTGACCCGTAATCATGTCTGCAGGTAAATTTTTCACAAATAATGTTAAGTTATTCATTTTTCATTCTTTTGATTTTGTTCTTAACATTCGAAATGGTGACGTTGTTACATTTTCTTATTTTTTTTCGTAACATAACCAAACCTTTTACGATACGCAGCATGCTTTCAATATTGTGCTGCCGTATATTAAAGATCTCTTTTTTAAAAATGTAGCCTTATATTTACTTTGATTTTTAGCAGGCAAGAAGGGGAAAAAGAAGAAGGGTAAAACTTTAGATTTAATGTCATTCCTTGCTGATGGGAGTGGAACACCCACTGTACCAGTGAAATCAGGCTGCTGGGCTGATGAAACGGACGATGAGCAGGGTAAAAGAAATTTTCCCAATGTTTAGGCTCTAACCTTATATTATATTATTGTAATAGTTTAGAGGTACATATGTATACATATACATATTTGTATATGCATTGTATTAGGTATTAAAAGAAATAAACTCTCTTAATTTTTGAATAACATTAAAGTTTTATTCAAAGACTTAAGAAGAGTTTGTTGAAATTTGTTGAAACATTTTTAGAGACTAATAATTGATTTAAACTATATATTTATTAGATACATATAATTAAATTTTCTTTGATAAATATCCTTCAAAAATATTATTATTATGTGACAGAAGGATTTTCATCAAGAAGCAGCAAGGAACCATTAGTTCTACCCACAGCTCCTAGAGCAGCACGAGGACCTCGTGTTGCTGATGAAGATATCCCTACTAATCCACCTTATGTAGCATATCTTACCAATCTTCCTTATGAAGTGGATGAAGCATTTTTAACTGAATTCTTTGCAGACATGAAGGCCAGTATCTGAAAATATTTTGTTTTATCATAATTCATGTGAAGTATTGATTTCATTATTTCAACTTGAGCCATTATTTGCTTTTAGATCGTTAACATACGTCTGCCAAAAGATTCTAATAAACTTAAAGGATATGGATATGTTGAATTTGAAGATCGTCAGAGTTTAATTGATGCTCTCTGTTTATCTAATACAGTAAGTTCAAGCATTTTCATAGAAACTTATATTCATATTATATTGTACTATAGAAGAACTTTGTATAAATTATTATATTCATAGTCTATGAAGACAAGAAGAGTACGAATTGATGTTTCAAATAGTGTTAATGATGATCGTCGTGGAGGACGTATGGGTAGAGATAACCGTAGAGACAATTATGACGATTCCGAACGTACATCTGGAGATTGGAGAAGTGGTCCACGAGACGAAACCCTACCATCAGATGGAGACTCGTATCGAAGTCGATATGACAATAGAGATCGAAGAGATGATCGTGATAGTATGTTTATATAATAATAGAGTTTTTCATGCGCCAAAAATTACTAATTCAAAGAGAATTATAAAACTACTATATATTTATCATTTAGCTTCTGATTACGATAATAAGCCGGGTGCATGGCGTGAAAGCAGTGACAGAGGAAGACCAACGTTTAAAGACAGAGGTGGTTTTAAAGATGACGACAAAGATAAAGAATGGTCTCGCTATGACAAAGGTAGTAGAGACAGAGATGGGGATAGAGGGAGCAATTTTGGGCCACGTCGTAATTTTGATTCTGATTGGGACAGAGATGGTGCACGTAGACAAGGAGGAGGAAAATCCAGTGTTGACAGTAAACGATAATAATTCCTAATTATATTATATTTAAAATATTGGAAGTATATAAAATTTTGTATTGTACAGCTGAACCAAGAAGTAGGCCGAAGTTGCAGCTACAGCCTCGTACGAAACCTATTGAGGCTACTGCTGTCAAAGATGAATCTGCACCGCCGGCAGCAGCTCCCGCACATGTCCCTTCAACAAATATATTTGGTGCTGCAAAGCCTGTAGATACCACTGCCAGAGAAAGAGAAATCGAAGAACGTCTTGCAAAATCATACGCAGAATCGAAGTCCAAAGAAGAAGGGTAAACTATCAGGCAACTACATAATTTCTTTGATAATACATAGTTTGAAAATATTTAACAAATCTTTTTCTCCAGCGATTCAGACAAACGCGGTACTAAGGAAGGTACTTGGGGCAAACGTAATGGAGTAAGTTTATTACAATTGAAGTTGATATTATAACATATGTCGTTATTTCATTTATTAAGTATTAATTATATTTTATAGGAGGGTCGTGATGAGAAGGAAAGAGACAGAGGTCGGCCAACTTGGCGATCAGAAGACGATAGAAATCGACGAAACGAAAGATCAACACCGCGAAGTCAACCCGCTCATTCTGGTAAATTAAAATCGTTTATAAATAGATATATTAAAAACAATATGGGTACAAATATTGTTCTACGATTTAGATCAATACGGAGATTCTAAAGGACAACCGTCTTCTCGCGGTGGACCTGCTTCCTCCAGAGGTTTTCAAAGATCAACTGACACTCGTCCTGCTGAGAGGTAATAGTTTTGACCATATATTATTTTTTGTGTGAAAAATTGTATATCTTCATATATGTCTTGACTAATAATTTTTTAGAGAACGAAAAGATAGAGAGAAAGACGATATCAGCAGAATGCCAAAGGCAAAAGATGAACAAGCTCCAGTAAGTGAGAAAACTGAACAAGTTATAGTATTTATAGTAATCATTGTAATTATTTATGATTTATTCGTTTCAGAATTTCGTAGCTTCCAATAAGTATTCTATGCTACCTGATGATGTGGATCCTGACAATATCGATGATTAGCTCTAATCATTATACATCACCAATTAAATTGTGCCACATGCATCATAATTGGTCTATATATGCATATTATTAATTTGTTTTATCTCTATTAAATACTTATCGAATTGATTCATAAATCAAACACTGAGCTCTTGGTATTACTTTACAGGAATTCTTGTTGATTTGTATTTAATCTATTTTATTATTCTTAATATAATTATCTATCTACATATGTATTTACTTTATATTTCAATATGAATATTCAACATCATTAGATCGATGTGGAAATTTGGATAACTTTAGAATGATCAATTATTGTGGTTTTTTTTTAAATATTTAATTCTAAAGATAATTACACATGTAAGACTTAGGAATTGGGACTTTATACGTCATACTTTACCCGCTGTACAGTTATTGTACGATATGTAACTCATTTACATGTAAAATAACAATGCCAATTTAGGAGAAAACAAAATAATAAGTGTAATGGGAATTTAAATGATGTATTATATTCTATTGCTTGGAATTCGATGTTGCGTGAAATTCTTAATAATTACAAACAAAACAGGTGATCACGATGCAACTGAACATTGCAAAGTTGATGCTATTATCGATATGAGCATAATAAAATATAAGTCATTTCTATTGTAATGCGAAATGTTATTTAAAAAAAAACCGTAAGAAACTATTTTAACATTCACCGTATCATGACAATATAAGAAAGTTAATACATGACTGATTAAAATTTTTTATCGCAATTTTATTACAATAAGTTTCTAAAGAATTATGCATACAGTATATATTAAAAATTATGTATTTACAATCTTTTCTGAGGTATATACATACTGACTTTTTTTATTTACTGCTGAGTAGTTTGTGCTAATTGTCGTAATTGTTTTAATACAGTTTCTAAAAGTTTTTTCTTATCTCTTTCGCTCTTCTTTAGTACAGAAAACACTGTCTTTTTGTCAGATTCCTTTAACCTATAAGAATCCATGTTAAAATGTAAATATCAGTGCGTAGCATAGTATTATATTAAACAAAACAAGATGCATACTTCTCTAACAAAAGTACAGCCATATTTGGAGTTACCAAATTGTATTTACTTGATTCATGACCATAATCATGAAAATAAGTAGGCCAGTCCCAACTCATGAATAAGTCTAGTAATTGTCTTAATTGTGCAAAATATTGGAGCAAGGTACCTTCGGGTAAACCGACAACAGGTTCCGAGGCAGCAAATTCTAAAAATTCAAATATTCTAATTTTATGTTCGGATCAATTCAATATCATCAGAAGTATTTTGTAATCGTATATTGTATCTTATTTATGAATAAAAATGGAACACGTACGCTCACATTGTATAGTATCTAAATTGACTTGTTGAAGAGCACCCATGGATATTTGTTTCACATCTTCACTAATTAATATTCCTAATATAGCTTTTGCTATATGAGAACAAGCAGATTTACAAGCAACCTGTGCAACTTCTTCCTAAAAGTATATATTTTTAGCTATTAAAAATTTGTATTACATCTAATAAGTCTTTTAATATCTGAAATACGTACTGGTAAATTAGTGAAACAGGTGAAAGTACTTTGTAAGAATGCTATGAGGTCGGTGATAAATCCAGACGCGTGTCCTTGAGGTTCCGCTAAATTCCAATCATAATTTTCTAATTCTAAAAACTCGTCAAGTTTATTTTTTAATTTCTCACATATTTGCTTCTCAGCATCGTCCCTTGCAACTCGAAACATAGCTGATTCAACACCCATATTACTTAATTGTCCTTCATGCTGTGTTCTATAAAATTTTTCACATTATATCGTATTAGATCCACTACTCATGAATTGAATTCTTACCCTGTAATATTAGACACAAATTCTTCTAAATACTTGGTAGACTTTTCAAGGTATCCTGTATTTATTATAATTTGAACAACTTGCAATAGCGCTAACGATGGCTTTCGAAACAAGGACGACAAACATCCACTAAATGTTCTTGTTAATAATAAATTCGTTGATTTGCAGATCATTTCATCTATTTCTGTCTGCGTGAAATTTAAGTCTTCTGAAAATTTCAAGCAAGCGTAAATAAATTCTTTCACTTGCTGATAAACCTTTGGTACCATATCAGAAAATGGAAATTTTTTAGGGAATTCTGCTTTCTGTAACTCTTCATCGTGATACGGAAATAAATCAAGAATATTGTCATATTCTTCTTGCGTAGTAACCTAAGACAATATATTATAGATATACTAGCCTATAAAACAGATGCTGATTCTTTCCAAAAATAACCAACTTACTTGAATTGGTAAAAAACTATCTTCATCTAAAATATCTCTAAATACTTGAACCCAATGTTGCATTAGAACCTCGTTATAATGTACTCTAATTTCTTGTAATAAATCCCATAATTGTCCTATAGAATATCCATAATTCTGTTAAAAGAAAAGTAATAAGAAAATTGTTGTGTTATTCGCAATAAATTTATAATACAGTAGATTACTTACACTTAGAGTTGTGTTAAACAACATTATAAGATTTTTTATTTTCAAAATGAGCATTGCATCCGTACAATACGCCTAAGAAAACATAATCATAATAACTGTTAAGTTCGACTTACGAGTAATTCAATAATATTTCATTAACACTTACGGAATGAGTGCGCAACGCATTTACTATTTTCGATAGTGCCATAGACCATAATTCGTCTAAATAAGAACGCGTAGCTAAACCATTGCCAGTATTTAGAATATGATCTTCTACTACGAAAAAGCCTATGATACCTTGTAAGTATGTTTGGTAACCAGCTATACTCTCATGCTGAGAAGTGACAAATTTAGTTAAAAGAACATCTTACTTCTAAAACCGGTGGTAATATTTACCATATTAATAGGAGATTGTAAAACTAATCTTGCTTGTTGCATCCTTTGTTGTCTGTAGTAAGCTTTAAAAGTATCTCCTTCACGAAGCACAGTATAAATATGCATACAGCGATAAACTGGACTGAAGTCCATTAAATCTTGAGCACTTAATTCTTCCTCACATTCATTTGATAAAGAATTAGTTACTTGTGGTCTTTTCTTTTTCCGACCAACAATCTCGGCTTCAATTATTAGTTGTTCTTGAGTCTTGAGTTATATAATTAAGATGATATATTAAATACAATGAAATTTATTTTTAAGTTTTGATAGTCTCACTTACATGTCTCATAGCAACTTCACCAATTTTTGGCGAGTATTTCCTAATATTTTCTAAAAAGTCTCTTAAATCAGACATGGAAGCATCCTTTATATTTTCACGTAGTCTAAAATCATTCAAGTGATCAGTCACTTAATGTACTTTAATATGTTTTTGTGAATTATTACTCTTTAGTTAACATCTGCTGTAAACACAAATATTCTTTCATCTCGTGACATTACTCACTGTGGAATTTGTTGAGTAATTTGCGAAGAAAATCTATAATTTGTTACTTTTGGTAAATCATGTTGCTCTAATTGTTCTAATGTTTTCAATGCAGGATAGTAACGTTTATCTTTGAGCTGTTTCTTTAACTTTGCATAGGCAGCTAAAACAGGAAGACACATGGTAAGACTGTCCACTGCTGCAGCCATATTACTCTCCACTTTACGAGCTTTAACAAGTTCCTCTCCTTTTTCTATTACTTTGGTAGCAGTAGCAGTAATACGTTTATCGAGTTCTAATATGTCAGCCTATAAGGAAGTTATATTTCATTGAATCCCTGTTTATTTTGGATCAAAATTAAATTATAAATAACTAACTAACATTAAGTTGTTGTGCTTGAGAACGAACTTGTAAAAGTTCTCTAATGGAGTCGATGAAACCTTGATAGTGGTGATTACACATCCTTTCGATATCTTTATCGTGTGCTTTAATACGCTCATCCAGCTTTTCCATAAATTTCTGGTGTTCATGTCCATCGTAAATTGCTCTAAAAGAGGAAAAGTGACACTTATAATTACTTTGTCTCTTAAAATTGTGTTCCTTCAAGGATTAACTCAGAATAATAATACCTGAAAACAAGACCTATACTATTAGTATCTGTGGACTCTATTTCATACAATAAGTACTCATGTTTTGGTACCATAGTTGATAATAGATTGTCAACTTGGTTAGTTGACAACCTGGACATGATACAACCCTAATTAAATTTTTCTTTATTCCACCATAAAGATATCCACCCCCATTTTCTACCCTCCTAGTGCGCATATGCGCGATAAAAGCTGCATCTGCGTGAAGGGGATGTTTTGGGGGCGCGTCTTTTAACAAAATCATCGATAATGAATTACATTTACGTACCGAAAAGTTGGACCCAAATAATCATCTATCCCTTCAATTTCTTGGATAAGAATATCGTCTCGCTGCATTCTGATAAATTCAATGACAATTCAGATGGGAAATTATACAAAATTTTAACTGGTTCGAACCCCTTTATGAAGGTCAAACAATTCGCATTTATTACCCAATTGTATATTGCATCGATGTATGTAACTAAATGTTATAGTTAAACAATATTTTCGTCTTTAAAGGTCTCATTTTAAACAATGACATCGTCAGAATCATTCGCTTAAGTTTTAACTGTCATATTTGCTAAACAGGGGTTGGAAACTCCCACCGAATCCTAAAGTTTTTGCTTAGTTCCATAAAACGATCAAGCATTGTTCAGATGGCGATAATGTAATGATTTCAAGACCTTTTATGTGACTCTTCCTATAGTAAAAATAAAACAGATGCTTTATCAGTACATTGAGTATATATCATACACGTACCAATATATAACAAATACAAAATATACTAATAAATCAGGTGTATTGTTAGTAATTGAATGAATCAGTTTTTCATTGTATTTCGCGCGTGAAAAAAATGGATCAACGCCATCTAACCGTTTGTATACCGAACTAAAAATAAAGTAACAGGCTATCATAAAAGCGAAGTAGGTAAAGGAGGTATCTACAAGACCGTATCAAAAGTTTCTTGGGCCCCGGAGATACAAATTAAAATCTTCTAATATTCAAAAGAACTTTAATTTTTTTTAATTATAGACTTTATCGCAAGCTATTGCTCATTTATTGCTACAAAATTAATTGGATTTTAGAAGTAGTATATGTTTAAAAGAATTATGTTATTCAGCTACGTTTTAGAGCCTATTGAAGTTAGCTACGTTCCTTCAGGAAGTAATCTGCGCGTTACTTAAAGGTAGTTTAAGCCATGCTATCAGAACAGTGATGAGATATGGGCCGGGTTTTTCCGCGCATGCGCGGCAATTTTAGTCTCAGTAAAGTACAAGTTTCAATAAAATAGGGTACCTCAATCACCCCTCATTATTTTTCAAATATTTTTATAATTTGGTTGAGAAATATGAATGTATAGGTTGCATAAGATTATATTATATACATATTTTCATATTTGAGGAGCAGATGGAAAGGAAAGGTACTATAATAACTGTAAGCAAAATATATAATAAAGCCATCTAGCGGCGCCACTAAATACATACGCTGCGTACGCTCCTGCATTTCTCGCGCATGCGCGAAAAAACCCGGCCCATATCTCATCACTGCACTGGGGCAGCCATACACTGATCGGCGCGCTACTTAAAAGTAGATCTGTGTTCCATTTAATCAA